ACGATTAGACATGGTTACCTAAGTTTGTATGTTTAATTTGCGTCCTGTTGTGCAAAGTTATGAAGACTTACTAGATGCCATACGCGGCCGCTTAGTTCGGGGTTAATGGCACTCAACAGGAAAAGCGGCACTCAAGCCCAAAATACAGAGGATGGTTTTATCACCACACAACCGAGCAGCATAAAACGCAGGCTTCATCACACAACAGGTATACTTAGCAAATAAGCCAACGATGATCAAGCATGCATTTCATGCTGCTCGGTGGTATGATGTTAAAGCCACCTGGCTGCTTCTGCGTTCCAGGTCGGAGTCCAAATTTTCCTGGTGAGTGCAGTTATGCATAAATTAAGCGGCAAATATTGAAGCTGGTGCAGGTAAGACCTAGCTCTTATCTGCTTCTTGGAGTGGTTCGCTTTTATGACGCACTACTCAAAACATGGATGCAGGCTGGTATCGTCATTTGTCAAGTCAAGACAAGAATTGCTTTATGCACCCATGAAGGGTGAATATTCAGCTCTAACACAAAAGCCACGACCAGGGATTTGAAGAAAAAGAACAGTGAATGAGGATAGATATAAAAACACGGTCGTCAAAAAAACTTAGAGAACAAATACCATTGTAGTAATTTAAGAACGAGTTTTTGGAATTATGATGTTTCATCGTTATAAATCATGACACACAAGGAGCTGCAGATATACCATTGCGCAGTCGCATATAGTTTGGCAGCTCTGTCAGATCGAGGATGTTTATACGCACGTGAACATCACCCGGTGGAGGCGGTGGCTAACCTCAGTGAACATTTTAGTTGCAACTTTTCACAGGAGTTGACATCGCTGAATACAATAATTTTATCAAGTCCCCGCCTTGAAATGCTACTACACTAGGATAGGCGCTTCATTGAGTTGGCAATAATTTGAGGTTATTACTCGGGGGACTAGGAAATGTCACGGAAGAGCATTAGTTTTAGTAAGGTAACAAACATGTAGTGATAAAACGCTGGATCAATAAAGGGGGTACGGAAGAACAACTGGGACGGGTAACACAGGATAAGAGTCTTCTAACTTTAGTGAAGGTCTTGTTCAAGTAAGGGACCATGTAAGCCCACCGCTCAGTGCCACTCCCAGGTATTTTACTAACGTGGAAGAGGTCAAACATCCACATCACTGCAAACTTGCGGACCCTGTGTCAGGATTTGCTAGTAGCGATTTCTTTTGAATAGCGCAAAAGGGCATCCTTACCATTCGAGGTGTTTAACGCTAGGCAACGAGATTTGGACCAAGCTACGAGGTTGTCCAGGAGGGATTTTGTTTGGCTAATGATACAATGTTGGGATAATGGATGCCAAGCATTTCGTCTTCCGCATACTTCATCAAAGATGGCTTCTTCAGAGATGGGGATTGAGGTGACAGAAGCGTAAAATAAGTATGGGGAGGAAATAACTCCCTGAAGAACCCCGGAGTCCGTGGTGAGTGAAGTAGAGTTTTTCCTATGAACCTGGTATACCGGCTACGGCTGGTAAAATACCCTTTCAACAAAAGAAAAACATAAGTTTGTAATCTAGAACCTAATAGATCGCGCAACAGTAGTTCATAGTTCACGTAACTGAAAGCGTTGTTAATATCCAGTGGACAAATGCGGATGGATTTGCTTCACTTATCCAGTGACTAGAGCATAGCATGCAGTACAAATGCTGCTGCATTTAGGGTAGGCCTTGAGTTGCGATATGCAAATTGATGAGGGTCATCAGGAATAAATCGCTCGGGTGTCTTCAGAGCAACCGATATGCAAGCGATCGGCCGACATGTACGGTTTCCTTACTTTGGCGCTAGCGCAATGCTTGCGCTTCGCCAACTATCAGCTACATGTTGCTGCTTGTAGCACAGTGTGTATAAGTTTGCGAGGGGCTGTGCCACGTCATGTGCACACTCCTTAAGAACGACAGCATCCAACTTAACAGAACCAGATGCTTTGTTCAGTTACAACGCCATTGCTTCCCTGAGCACTACTAGGCTGTTCACAGGAGTTTTATCTGCGGTTAGCTGTAACTCGACAAAAGATATATCCAATGCTGAAGTACTATCCTCGTCATAAAAATTGAGGTTTGGTTTTTCCACCTCATGAGCTGAATGCGTGATCTCGCGGGTGACCCCGGTCAACAGATTCTGTATTTTTCATATTTCACGAAATCATTGTTCCCAAGTATGGCTTGAATGTAAATATGGTTGAGGCGGCACAATTCGATTTTTATGTCAAAAGCCTACACCGTCGTTTGGGACGTTGAGACAAGAATCTATCGACACGGAATAAAACAGTTTCGATTGGACAGCAGATGTAGAAGCAGAAGTTTAGTTAAATAGTTAGCTGGCTGCAATACAGTAATATGTTCGCATCGTAAATGAAACTAATATCGGTGAATGGTCTGGGTAAGTCATTGTCTCCGTCTGAAATTTCGATCTTCACAATGGGTGAGATTTTTTAGCTAGTCTCGCTATAGATAACAAGATATAACTTTGTAATGGCGTAATCAGATCTCCCAAGCGGCGCCCGATTACAAGCTTATAACACCTTTAGTATGTTAACAAGTGCCGTGTCAACTGTTTAACATGTTTAGAGATTGCGTCGGGATCTTCAACCCGAAGCTTCCAATGATGCGTGTCATTTGTTAAACGCTCCAGACCTATGCATGCACTAGAAGAGATACATTTATTCCATGACTGCAGCTGCAAATCAATTGTAAGATTCTGCAACCTTGCAGCTTGGACAGCTGGAAGAGACATAAACCTTGGTTAATAAACTCGAACACCAGCCAGACGTCAGACTTGTTTTGCATATCACGAAAAAGCGGCTGATACGTTGTAAGCTGTAAGGAAACATGTTTTTAATCGAAGTGCATCATGAAGAAATAATGTAAATGATAACTGGAAAATTCCCATTTAATCACCAAGAACAAGCGACCGAAGTTAAACAATTGTTTTTGATGAATTCATCGTCAGACCTTTACCATCCTATGGGAAAAGAGCAATGGGATTAACAATGATTTCGAGCAGTTCAAAGGAAATTGGAGCACGTGCCAACCGGGGGCACAAACCAGAAATAAACGTAAACGATAAGCGCAAACTACGGAAAAGATGTATTCAGATGATTGCTTCTGGTCTCCGAATCGTCCATTTTATCTCCCCAGGGTAACCTAAGAGCTTCGAGCAGTTTCTTTTGTGAACACAAAGGCGGTTGATCCAACCGAATATTGATCGTTTCAGCTGTAGCGAGGATGCTGAGGTGCAGGAGTTTCGAATGGAGTGGCGAAACCTTGTAGAGTATACGAAAGGCGCGGAATGGATCGACTTCATGCGCACTATCAACTCAATAGCCATAAAAAGCTAGTTATAGCCCCGGTACCGCCCCGACGCAACCAGCGTTGAAGGGGCTCATTAACGCGCTTTGACAAGTGCCATGTCTTTCGACCGCTGTAAGTAGCGCCACAGGCGCCTTTGGCGCCATCAGCATGAAAATTACCATGGGATAGGGGTAATGGTTAATACTAAGTGAGATGACCTGGCTTAAGCTTGCGGTTTAATGTCCTCTTGTTCCTAATGGCAGCACCTTCTCTTACCAGTTTGTCCAAAGTTTGGTATTTGATGATACTCGCAAAATGACAACACCCGCTTCCTAACAGTATGTGGAGACAATTTTTGCTAATATAGTGTTAAAGTTGCCTTAGAGGAGAGTAAAGTAACGGATAAGGGGATTTCGACTTTAAAACTAAGTAGCTGGGTACGGCAGATTGATCACCAAACTCTACCTCAGCCGCTATTAAGGTCACCACGTCCTTTCCGATGGACAAAAATCTATTACTTATTTCAGAACATTCAGGAAAACTAGCTATGGTACCCTATCTTGTTTTTACATTCTGGGCTAGAAACGTTGTAATTATTTAACAATTTTATTTATCTACCTTATTAGTTATTTGGAATTATGACCTACTAATTGTGTGATACTGACAAAGTTGCTACAGCCTCGAATGCAGCCAGTACATGTAACCTTCTACGGAATACCACTCACAAAAGTTGTACGCTTGAATGTCAGCGAGTTTTAGCAAGTTCCACATTGACAGTCAGAAAAACGCTGAATGGAAGCAGTGCAGTGGGAAAGAGCGCGGCACCACGTGCACAGAAAATCCGTTACTGTAGTTAACCTGATCTCTTAGAAACCATGAGGATCATGAAATTATAATGTTTTGATGCAGGTTATCCGATATGTTTGCCTGCATCCTTGTAATGTATGTGTTCCAAAGCTTGGAGTAAGCAAAAGGCTGTCTGTGAGCAATGCAGAGTAGTAACATGCAATATTTTGTATAGTGCGAAGCATTGCGTCACAGAAAATTTTATTGGTGACATCCTGGTAAGTTTCTGATGGATATCTGCGCCTTGAAATTTGGTGACCCAGAGTTTTGCCTACTCAGAGTCAAATTCTGATCAAGGGTTCGTGGTTTAATCTGGTTGAACTTAACGCTATAATGCTTAAAACTACCAATTTCATTATCGTGGTAACTAGGAAACTTAGCGTGTTCTAGCTGTATTCATGAACTCCACGTGGTTAAGTAGTGTAACTCAATCTAGAAGGTTTATTAATGGTTCACTTTGCTGGTGACCTCAAGTGAACCATCTACATTGAATACTACAATAACCGTAAGATACTAAGGTAAAAAAAGTGTGGACTACTTAGGAAGCACTATTAGATAAGTATTATAATAGAAGATCACAGGGAATAAAAGTAACAGTTGGCTGAGCTGAAGCAGTTAAGCAGCAGATTCACATTTTGCTGTGAAGTCATGGGCAACTTGTACGGAAACACTATTAAATCGCTCTGAAGGAAAACGACTGGTATAGTTGCGCTCTAATTATACTTAAGCATCAGAATGTGAACAAATGCTATGCACCTTGACTCCGGTTGTATTGCAAGGTAATTACACCCTTCATTCATTATTCATTTTTGTACTTCAGCCATGTAAAACCTGGACACAAACAAGTGTCGTTAGAACATCCAGAAAACTATACCGCTTTCGTATCCAAGAAAACGAAACACACAGTTCTGTACTACGAACAACGGATGACTTGCTGGACAACTTCCAGTATTGCCGAAATCCAGCTGGATCAAAAAGTCGACCATGGTGTTATACGATACCAGTCACCGGAATGAAAAGCGAATACAGTTATTGTGATGTACCCAAATGCTGTGAGTCCTTATATAACCTGACAGCAAACCTCCATTTTAACAGGATTGTGTTGCAACTTATACATGTGGATTTAACATACAACAAAACCAGCAGGGCTTCCATACCTTGTGTCGACTAAGTTTTGTCTTACGGAATTATCATTATGAACAGCCAGAAACCCACGTGCACTAGAAATTTAATTATCGTGGTGCTCATAGACGTTACTTAATACCTGCAGTTGTTGTCTTTAAATAGTGAAGTCAAACTAAGAAGCATCCCATGTATTTCTAACGTTAAGGAAGGAAATCACTGTAACTGAATGTGTCACCTTCAAAGGGGACAAAAATAATGTACTGTTCCGTTTCATGGCTGTCGGGAAAGTGTGCATTCATTCAAAGGATAGATATTTTGGCAAAAAATGTAATATTCACTTCCTCTTAAAAGTTGGAGGCATACATAGTTGGATACTATTTCTAACAGTACTTGTTACTGGGATTCCGTGGGATAATCTAAAGGTACTTGGTGGCTGCTCCATGTTCACTGAGATAAACTTTTATGTAACCTTGAAACTACATAAAACCAGACAGTATCTTGTGAGCGGTTTTATGCTAGCTAAAACACCTTATAATCAAAGCATAAATGCGTTGGGTGCTCATTTGCTGGATCAAAATTGCCAGTCTGAGTAAGAAAAGATATGGATTCCATCTGATTATTTCTGCTGCCTTTCTAGCTAGCTTGGCTGTGCTGAATTGTAATAGACGGGATCCAAATAGGACACTAATATGTCTCTACTAAATATAGTGCGAGTTGGCATCATATAGGTTTTTGTAAGAAAGGCATACTCCAATACGTATGGTTTATAGGTCTCCGCACAGGCAGAAAATATAGGTTAAATGTATTTGTCCTCGTTGTATACGAAACTGCCTCATTTGAAGTAAAGCAATATCTTTATTTCTGTCCTGGAACCCTGTTGTATCCATTTTGTGTCTTGGAGTACCAGCCGTGTGTCTAAATTGCGACAAGTAATCTCGATTAAGGCCACGGTTAGCTATGAAACAGACAGCTGCTATTTCGATCATCTGGACCACATCCGAAATGGAGAGTTTTAGAGTGGCTCGCTTCAAGCACAGCATCCCGCTTGATAGCCTGAGTGGAGCAGAAACGCAAGACGACTTGCGCTTTGGTTTCTGAGCAAGAGCTTCATTAAAGCGCTATACACTGAAGTTGCGAGTTTATTGTTGGGTCTTACAGTATGCGCCGTGTACCTGTATAACGAGATGCAAACTAATCTGAAACCATGGTTTGCTTTGAAGCAAACATTTGTCATTCAATCACAAAGCGACGCATTTCGGAGCCGCCCTCCTCAATAATAGGTAAAGCATTGTTGAGATAGCAGCCCCAAACCTCTCCAATTTGTGATGCATTTCGTATGTCAACAGTGTTCGGTTTATGAATTCTGAACCTAAATTCCATTCGGTAACATCTAGGACCTTAGAATAAGGGATTCACCGCTTTGTACAAAGGGAAGATGTTTGATTAAAATATAGCATATTCAGAGAGTAGGTTCTCTGTTTTAAGTTTTACCAGTTATTGTGATGGCCTAACAGAAGCACGTACATCTGGTTGAACCAAACTCACCAAAAGGTAGTGGCTTCTTCGGTTTGTGTGCCAGCTTTTCGAAATGTCTAGCATGTTCGAAACCGTATTTTATCATCCAGTTTCTACCTGCAACTGAGAATAGTTTGATGAGGTTGCTGTTATGCACCTCGATACTAATGCGAGATAGCTAGCTATGAAACTCGCTTAAACATTCTATTCTCAGCTGCATTCATCAGACAAGAAACAAGTCACGTTTGATGATCGAGTGAAGCTTAAATAGCAGGGTTTATGAAGAAAACCAAAGCAGCGTGTGTTAAAATGCTGCCACCTAGCAAGCCAACGACTTATGCGATAATACTAGGTAAACTTCCCTATGGCTCAGACATAGAACATTAGTACATACTCAAGAAAAAGTAAAAGGACATCGCCACCATGAAAGGGAACGGGCAGGGTATATATACTAGCTTGAGAACCAGAGAAGACAGCTGGGTCTATTGACTGACATGGTAGAGCACCGGCTGAAAGTGAAGCTCACTGAAGATTTCATGATGTTCGCAAATGAAGCTGAGATTTTAAATTGCCGTTATAGTCAAAAGTGCCAGATGGAAATGGAGTGCCTATCAGGAGGCGAGCAGTTTTTACTTCATATAGGAGTCCAGTGAATGAAGAAACAGCAATTCACTACAAAATTAATTGCGGTCCAAGTTAACATTCCACAGCACCATTCTTTCATAAGGTTTGGCTTTAAACAAGTGATGGGCTTTAGTCAATTATTGTTTGACCATCCGGTAAGCCCAGGCTTGTATGAATGTAAACAAGATTTTTATTTGAACGGAACCAGATTAACTATTGCATAGTTGGCATGTCCAGAACTTGGCACATAACAAAATCAGTAATGCAAACAGTTCGGAAAGCAAAATTGAGTGAATAATTACTTGAAAGAGGCCAGGGAATCAAAATCCAGTTGTGTGTTTCTATTGATGGCTAATGTGATGACCTGCCGGCCGACCGGTTAGACGTCTAAAGAGTATGAATCAACACCAAATCATCCCTTAACGCTATGGATTTAGCATTGAGCAAAGGGCTGAGTTCGTAGGTTCAGTAACAACCATCTTTTGTGGCCAAGATACTGCCAACACAGTAACAATATATTTGAGTCAGCTTCTCTCATTTTACTTATTGTATTTTCTTTAAGTCAACGCCTACAGGTATTTGCTACTAAACTTATTTGTAGTATCACTAACATCAACAAGCTGAGGCCGTCGCTTAGAGCCTGTAAACTTCGGTTAAGATGTCAACAGCAATTGATCTTGCATTTTACCACCTACAAAGAAAATTATATAGGCTGTACCTATCCCTATTGATCACTCGCCCCATCAGTAAAATGTATTTACGAGTTCAATAGTGGAGGTTTTTACCTCTTTTTACTTATTTAGCTGACCCAAGTCCGTTGGGGTACATAAATTCTGGAAGTGGAAGTCCTTGCGCTGACGGTTTTGTGCAACAAACCCAAACGGTTTTGTTCGAAGGTAAACGCAATGTAAAAATTACTTATTGCCTGGCACCCATTCGTCTACTCTACCCAAAGCAACGCCAACCACAGTATGCGCCTTTCACGGACTTCTGTCTTTATCTGATGGAAGAGTTTACATTCTGTCCTGCAGGTGAGAACGGTAGCTACTTTATAGCTTTTTCAAGAGGAATACCTGACGATAAACCAGACGAACTGGGGTAGCTGTTATCTAATTATGCAGGTCTTTTTAATAAAAGATAGTAATTTCGCTGTCAGTAAAAAACATTTTACTCGTACGTATTTCCAGTCGTGATTGCTTTATTACCGGGTTACTGGTTCTTCTCCGTCTGCTTGGTAACTCAAGATGACTTTTTCCGCAAAAACCTAACTAGCAGTCTGATAACCATAATCAACTTGCAACGAACCCGCTAATTTTCTATGCAAGATGAAGCCCAAACTAATTTTCATGAGCTTTTTAACTTATCTTAAAACCTGAGAAGCTGACCGGATGAAACTATACGCTGTGTTTTATGTACTCGCTTCAGTTACTAAGATTAGCAGAATATCTTTAAACGGAGTATAACTAGGCCGCTTGTTGAGCTTATGAAGCCAGTACCTTAGTACCATTATTGTTCCTTATATTCCACTTCGTAATGTTTATACAAAGCGTGAAACTAGACACAGTTGTGTGCGACGCTGTCTTTAAATAACTTCCACAACAAGCAAGCAAATCCCACTTATTATCGCAGGCACATATTAGGGGGAAGAGTGCCAAACATTTAGAATATGTTACGTAAGTATTCACCGCATTAAGCTAATGCTTAAGTAAAATAATTTATTTGTAAATGACATGGGTTCTTAGCAAACAGCCACTACCACAAAATCATTGCGATTTAGAGGGAAGTACCGCCTGGGATTTCAAAGCATATTAGGAAAACGAGGGACAAAGATAATTGTTTCTATCTTCTTTGAATTAACTGGATTATGTTTAGCACTTTATAGTTTACCTTTCATAGCATATGGACCGTAATTGAAATGATCATTTTTGATGTGGTGCTGTTTTATCAAGTCAAGTAAAAGGGATCTTTGTGTACCTGGATGTGTGCAGTTTCAACATTTTACATTATTGTTTTCAGATGCAATAAAATAACTGTTAGGTAGATAAACCAAATAGTATAGGGCATGCTGATATCGCTCAGGTAGTTCTAGCAACTACCCCAACTTACTGGTCAGACTGCAAGCTTTATGTCCAGTTGATAGCGCAGTGTGTTACCAAAACAGTTCGCATAATTGGTTTCAAGGTACCTCAAGGTGCTTAACCCAAAGTAACGCATTGACAATCGTGCACAGTATGTTGACCTTCAAATTGAAAATATAAATAATTTAAGATGGTCTTAACGACCATGGAAATAGTCTGACCCAATGTAATGTAAAGTGTTCGTGAAAATTAGTATATCCACAGTAAATAGCGTGGCATGGACATAATATCTTTAGGTATCTAAACATTATTATAAAATTATAGTTGAGCGTAGCACTGGGTTATTGATTCGTCCTCATATGATCATGTCAAGTTGGATTATTCATTCTGACGTCTGGTCAAACTGCACATAGACTTTTGGTTGAGTGGAATACAAGTTTTTGCCGCATTAACTAATGGATTGTGATCGTTACAAAAATATATTGTGGTCACCAGTTTAGTGCCCAATTGGAAATAAGAGACGTGAATATTAACCTAGGACAGCCGTACCTCCTCATCTGCATCTTCTCACGCAAATGGTGTTTTATACGATGACATCTTAACCATACACTACGTCGGTCATTGGATCCACTACATCAGGTGGGTCCAAATATTTGCTAGGTGGGCCACCTTTTGTGAGGTAGGGGGGGGTCACTTTTAGCCTGAGATTAAGCTATAAACAAAGAGTGCACAAATACAAATAGGTCTAAGCCTTGATTCATTAGTTAATGATGAGACCGCGAGTCAGTTGAAATGTTAACACTGGCCGCATCTGGCGCACGAGCCGGACTTACGACATCCCTGGTTCACATTGTACCATAACAATCCTTTGATACTAATTACGTAGTTATTCTTGTACCACCTACCTGTATTGTATACCTGATCAGAGCTTCACGAGCAGTGCAGGACGTAGTTCTGGCTTAGTAGCCATGGCTTTAATGGTCAAAGTTCAATGTGCCTGACTCGACTCTCCTCTCAGACTATCTCTATCTGAAGAGTTCAAACCTGGTCGAAAATGATCTGTCGTGGAGTGGAGTGTTGACAGTGAGCGGTTCCGGAACCCCCCGCCTCAAATTTCTTTATTGAGAATAAAATGGCACCGACTTTTCTCGGTTTCCTGAATATGGGGGTGAATAAGTTCATTACGTTTTCCCTTCTTTAGTGTAAAAAATCTCAGTAACTTTAAAGCACATAAAAATTATATTTATTTAAAAGTGCAACTAATCTTTGCTGCAGGTAGTCTATTCGTCCTGAAGTAATCGATGACAATAATAAGTGATCAAAGAGTGTTCATGTTGTTAGACTCACCGAGAAAACCTTTCTCTTCCTTAGCACAGTATTGTTGGGACCAATCAAAGTAGAACAATTGATGTAACATATCGATTACACATTTAGAAATATTAATCAAATTTCAACCATTGTAATGGTTGAGTGGAACTCTTAAGTTTCGAAATACAACATAAACTAAATCAGATAACAGCCGAATTTAAGCCTACACATTTCACAGTTTATTTTAGACTCTTTACACAATAATAGCGTTTCTAATTTATATCCGTTTATACTAAAGTATGTATTCATGGCGTCAAACCCGCATTCTTAACTTAAACAGTTTAAAATGTATTAGGAGTCCCGGGCAAATACAAGCTATTAATGAGGGGAACTTTAAACTTCATAAACCATGCACCTCAATGTTGTGGTAGTTTATGGTTTTGGATGTGAAAACTGCTGCATGAGAAACAAAATGTATTATCACCTTAATGTTGTTTATATGAACACAGCCGTCTGTTTACATGGACTTGGAGTTAGATGCAGCACAATATAATTTACGAAACTGAAGCTCAACGGCGGGGGCATTGTGTATGTTTATCTACTGTGCGCTCTACACATTCTGGAAATACATTCTGATTTTTGGCTCATTTTAAACACTGGCGTATGTGAATTGACAGAATGTGCAGATGCACCATCCTGTTGTAACCAAATGGTACTGCATGCACATTTGGTCTCCAGCTGTAGAAGCACAAATGGCTGCAGCATTTCCAAGTACTACGATGTTAGGAAAAGCTGAGGCTTTATTACTTCAAAACAACAACCTACCGGTCACATTACCAGAAAATAAATATGGACCCAAGTTTTGCTGGCTTGTTAATCCTGCCCAAACCATCAGCTTCACACTGTGGTGCATACATGATGCGGTATATTTTCGTGGTTTGCTGGCAGCCCAACGGTAATGTTTCATTGTTCCATGCAGATGAAACAGTGCATCATCTGTAAAAATAGCAGCACGAATATCCTTGTGATCTAGAAACCAGCGGCAAACTTCATGCCGCTTCTCCGGAGCGCATGGGTTCAAAACCTGCACTTGAAGTGCACGGAATCTCCGAAAGTTTCGTTCCTGTAATATCCGGTGTACCGCATATCGGGTCGTGTCACAGTGCTGTGCAAACCGACGAATGCTTAGCTCGGGACCTCTTGACAGTTCGCTGACTACAGCGCATGATGAACAGTCCTCCGTGGTAATGCGAGATGCTTCGGTTCTCTTCATGTCACCCACGATTCCAGTTTGCTCAAACTTCTTCACTCGTTTAAGCACGCACCGGACGGTGACGGGACGCATTCTTGCATTCATTGCACTGTATTTTCATAAAGTTGATGCGGCGTTTAAACTCTATTCACCATACAGCCGAACAATCAGCGCGCGCTGAGTAGCAGGCACGTTACGTAATCCAATCCGCAGTATCTGTTCGTGCTCCAGTACCTGGGGCAGAGCTTCAAGGATATTGACACGACTTGCGTTGCTTAATATCGTCCTCGTCTAAGCCAAAAGACCCGGTTGGCTGAGATACCCTCAATAGCACACATTCATCCCGCCGTTTTAATTGCGCGCTTTAGCTTGCTAACCCCTACTTCGCTAGGCAGCTGGCTGCATCGCTTTGACCAGCGAGACACACAGATAAACATCGATCGCTCCAAAGCCTACGGTTAGCCATGCTTTTCAGCACTCAGCGCGAAGTTAGTTGATAGCTAACGACCTCCAGAAACACGTTGTGGCTGTATGTACTCATCTCGCTTGATGGCCAAAGCAGGTTAATATGGCCTGTCGGTTTATCCTTCATCAGCTTTCGCTTGCACTCAGTTGATCCCTGCACTGAACCACTAGTATGCCGAGAAGTCTATATATCCTCAGTACTAAGGGGAGAGAGAAATGCATGTTTCTGCACGCGCGCACCCCAGACAATACGCATTTTGCGAAAGTTCCTAAACATTGGATGGCTATTGGATGATAGGGACAACAACTCTAAATGACCGGCATTCACCATAAGCGAGCCACGGTAGGTCCATGGACCGCGCATCACATTCTGGAACGCGGTTATCGGCCATCTTCCGCCAGACTAACTTTATGTGTATATGCTTGCTTTCCCCCGCCCGTAGCTTATACGTGCCATCGTATTTGCTAGATCAGTATTGGTTTCCATACCTTCGCGTTCACGGAGTGATCTAGAAAGGTTTGTGTTCGACCTGCGTCATCCGTTGGCATACGCAGGCAAGGCTTTATCCTTCTCTAAGAGTCTGTGTCTGCTCATCGCACTGGCCGCAGTCAGGTGGTGGAGTGACCGCAAAGTCGCAAGTAACCAACTACTATATCTGTGCGTAAGTTTCCAGTGCGTTTCATTTATGTGCGCGTTCTACTGGTCATCTTAGTGCCCTGGAAGATTGTGTAGTGGCGAAATTGAAATTTTCGCCTTTATTATTTGTCGAGCGTTTATCCGGCTCTAGTTGATGTCAGCCTGAGTTTGCAATTGATTGTGGTTAGTTATTGTATGCAATTAATAATACGTAAGTAGAACCGTTGAGCTAAGAGTCACTCCGTTCTTTGAACAATTTATGGTTGGTCATTACATGTAATTCAAAACTTG